CCTGAAATGGATCCACGTGGCTTTGCAGGGAATAGTGAGAGTTGAAGGTTTTTCTCAGGGAACATCCCATGGCCTTGTCTCTTAGCATCAGGGATGAAGGGTTATGGCTTTAAACTGACACAAAGGGCAGGTTCATGTGAAATATTAGGAAGAAATTCCTCACTGTGAGGATGGTGAGACCCTGGAATTGTGGAAGAGGTTGCTCAGGTGGCTGCCCCATCCCTGGAATGCCCAAGGCTGGGTTGGGATGGGGTTTGAAATACCCTGGGATAATGGAATGTGTCCTTGCCCATGGCACAGGGTAGAACTGGATGAATTTTAAGGTCCTTTCCAACCCAAACCATTCTGGGATTCAATGATTTTATGAAATCAAAAGTTCAGAGCAAGAACCTGACACGTTTAAGGCTTTAATTAAAGATCATTCCCTATTTCTCTCTCAGATGGGTCATCTGACTGAAGAGAGTCTGCAAAGATAACTTGAAATTAAAATTAATAGTTTCTTCAAGCTTTCAGGCATTTTGCTCTGTTGACATCAGCATCATTCTGCAAAATTTGGGAAGCAGCTGAAACTAACTCAGTTTGCAGCTCCCCTATTTTTAATGGAGTATTTGCAAATCCTACACAAAACTAGTAGCATGAAAAAAACCCCTCAGTAATAATTCTAAATATGTTAACATATCTCTGGAATATACTCAATTTAAGCAAGGATGTATATCTGTGAAAGTATGGGTTTATTATTTATTATTTTAATCAGGGAAAGGCAGCCAGGCACATTTTATTCGTGGTGAATCTCCCAGTACCTATTTTCAGGCCATTACTTCTTGCAGGGAAAATAGCAATATGTCAGAATTCTTTCTAAGGTGTGCATTGCATCTGTGCATGAGTAGTTTTTCTTCCTTAGACAAATCATAAATTAGAGTTGTTTCCTTGTGTTTCAATGCATAGCTTCAAATAATGTTGCTCTGGAGTCAGTATTTCAACATGCATTTGTATCAGGTGAATTCTCTGCCTGTTTAGGTGAGGATTTATGACTTCAGTTGGTGTTAATTTAAAAAGTGAGTAGAGGGATTTACCATCTAATAAAATTTTTTAAAAGAAATTTATTTTTAAGAGCCAGAAGAAGAAAAAAAGAATAATACCCCATCTTTATAGCAGAAGAGATCAGCAGGTGTGTGTGCTGGGGGTTGCACGTGTCTGTAGCTGCATTGCCTGGAAATTGCACCCAATTCTCTTCAGAATTGGTGTCCCCCTGCTGATCAGGACCAGTGGGATGTGCTGCAGGGCCACTGGATGTTATTGGGATGGTCTGCACTGGGAATTCCAGTGATTCCTGTGAGCAGGAGATGGATGTGCCATTGCTGCTGGGAGATGATGAGAGGGTAAATGCAGTGACAAAAATGGGTTGGAACAGAGATTTTTTTTGTTCCCTGGTACCAGGATGAGTTTTGAGAACCCTGAGGAAGAAACGTGCAGAGCTGGGGTTTGGTTTTCTCGTGAGTGATTGTGTTTGTTCAGGATCATTCCAGCAGGAGAGAAGGATCCAGGGAGAGCTCAGAGCCTGAAGGGGCTCCAGGAGAGCTGGAGAGGGGCTGGGGACAAGGGATGGAGGGACAGGACACAGGGAATGGCTCCCACTGCCATTGGATGGGATATTGGGAATTGGGAATTCCTGGCTGGGAGGGTGGGGAGGGACTGGGATGGAATTCCCAGATTTGCTGTGGCTGCCCCTGGATCCCTGGCAGTGCCCAAGGCCAGCCGGAAAAGGATTGGAGCAGTTTGGGGTTGTAGAAAATGTCCCTGCCCATGGATAAATTTAAAGTCCCTCCCAAATCAAACCCTTCTGGGATTTTACAAGTTCAGTTTATTTTGCTGGAGGCAGGACCACAGCTTGGACAACCTCACCTTCCCTGAGGTGAGCCCACATCTGAATAAAATCAGGCTTTACATTTCCAAAGTTCTGGATAAGGACAAAAAGCCAGCACAGTTTTTAGGAGGGGAGACCTGAAGCTTTTCCCAAATGGTTTGGCAGAATTGCAAGGCCACATTATTTTCTCCAAACTCCTATTTCTTGCTTTGATTTTTATATAAAAAAAACTCTCTGAGTCAGTTTATGAACAGCTTTAATAAGAAATGGACCCTTTCAGACAGCAGAAAGCTCTGTAGTTGTTGTATTTAAAGATTTAAAGATGTAGGGATGTCTAATAGCTGTTCCTCCACAATACTTCCAGCTGTTACTGATGTATAAATAATGTTTTTTCCTGCTCTAATAGGACCAGGTTATTTACCATTTCCTTCAAGTTGTTGTTGCTGTGTAAAATTCTGTTCTTTTCATTCAATAATTCGATGCTTCTACTGTTTTTAAGCTCAGCAGCTTTAATTTGCTGCTCAATTTAATTTCCTCCTCAATTGAGCTGTTTCTGAATTCTTTTTTTTGCTGGTGTCAAAGCTTTAACCCCAGCCTGCAGCTGCAGTGGGATGGGGAGGAGAATTGGGAAAAGGTAAAACCCAAAAGGTTGAGATGAGAATAGTTTAATTAAAAAAAAAAAAAATAATGGGAGGGAAATGCAGAAATAAGTCTGGGTCAGCTCTCCTGGCCATGTTCCCCCCCAGCTTCTTGTGCAGCTCCCTGTTGGCAGAGCATGAGACACTGAAAATCCCTGATTTAGGGTAAGCACAACCAAAATATCAACATTATTCTCATCCTAAATCCAAATCGTGCTGTACCAGCTACCAGGAAGGAAATTCACTTTATCCCAACCAAAACCACCTCCTCCATGCAGAGAAAGTGAAGCTGACTTGGCAATACCAAGGAGTTGTGGCATTTTCCAAGATTTCCTTTATTCTTCTCACTCAGGGACTCCAGGAATGTTCATATATTCATTGGAATTGTAATAATATAATCTTTATCATCTAGAAATTCCATGCTGAAGTTGGACTCTCTCATGTCCTGTGGGGGTGGCAGGGAGGGTTTTGTGTTTGGCAGGGATGGCTCAGCTCAGCCTTTAAATCAACCCTGATTTCAGCAGATCCTCTTGGGGAATTTTTTTTTTTCCCCCCCCATCACGGGAAGGATATTCTGCTTTATTTGAACCTTTGCCATCTCTTTGGACAGGAATCCAGGAGATTAGGAGAGCAATCACACCAGGCTTTAAAAATAGAGATGCTGAGCAGTTGCATTTCTTGGCTGTTTGCACAAGCCTGCAGTAACTGCTTTGGAAAAAAAAGGGTGTAAAGGATTCTCCTTCCCTTTCCCCATTTTTTTCTCCTTTTTCTTCTTTCCCTCTTTTTTCTTTTCCCTGTTTTTTTCCCTTCCCTCATTTTCCCTTTCCCTTTTTTCCTTCCACTCTTTTTTCTTCCCCCGTTTTCTCTCCCTTTTTCTTCCTTCCCCTTTTTTCCTTTCTCTGGTTTTTTCCCTTCCCCCATTTTCCCTTTCCCTTTTGTCCTCCCCCTCTTTCTTTCTTCCCTTTTTTTCTCACTTTCCCCTTTTTCTCTTTTACCCCCTTTTTTCCTTTCCCTTCTTTTTACCTTCCCCCATTTTCCCCTTTTCTTCTTTCCCCTTTTTTTCTCACTTTCTCCTTTTTCCCCCTTTTTTCTTCTCTTTTTTCTCACTTTCTCCTTTTCCCCCTTTCCCCCTTTTTCCCCCTTTTCCTCTTTTTCCCCTTTTTTCCCTTTTTCCCCTTTCTCACCTTTCCCCCCTTCCACCCTTTCTCTCCTTTTTTCCCCTTCCTCCTTTTATTCCTTTCTCATTTTTCCCCTTTTCCCCAACTTTTCTTTCACCCTTTCCCCATTTCATTTCCCTTCCCCCTTTTTTCCTCCCCATTCCTCCTTTTTTCTTTTCTTTCATCAGAAGATAAGTGGACAAATGGAAGTGCAGGTGGAAGATTAATGTCATTGTGCCTTTGGTTGTAGAATTAACTAAAAGTGGGTTGTTTTGAAAATAGGGGGAAAAGGCATTGAAAACACTGAAATAAATAAAAAACTTGATGCTTGGAACTGGAAACCAAGTGCTGGAAACCCAGCACTGGAGTTGGATTTGGTTTGTTGGGCTCATCTTCAAAAATGGGAATTTTTGGGCCAGGATTCAGGTAAAGGAAATAAAATAAAATAAAATAAAATTAAATTAAATTAAATTAAATTAAATTAAATTAAATTAAAAAAATTAAAAAACTTCCTGCCTTTGGATGCTGAGTGACACTGATAGAATGCCTGGATGTTATTTAATATTTTGTCTGATTTCATGCTGGTTTTCCATTTTCAGTGATGGGTTTTTCACACAACACAAATAAAATCATGTTTTTAAAAGAACATAACTTACCATTATTCCCATTTTCCCTCAAACAACAGAGAAGGTCAGAGATATTTGGGGTTGAAGTATTTTAAGTTTTCCTCATCCCTTGAGAGAGGTGCAGCAATGTTCATGTTCAGATATGCAGTAAAAATGAAAAACCCTTTCAAAGCCTCTCCATCTGCTCCTGCAAGTTAAAACACTCATAAGTGATCCTGTTTCTCACCCTTGGAGCTCTCAAACCTTCCAATTCAGTATGGAAAATTAAAATAAAATTCTGCTCTTTCAAGCCATATTTTTAAGAGTTTTCTTTGTGTTTGAAAGCACTGAATTGTCTCCCTTCTGTATGGATCAAATGGTTGATTTCAATGGATTCTAGATTTCAAAGCAGAGGTGAAATTCTTCATTTTCTAATTCTTTTCTAATTTTCTAATCCTTACCTTTCACATTCAGCCCCAAACCCACCAGAATAAACAGACACCTTTGAATTGAATTTGAGTGGATTATGTTAAGCCCATACTGTGACACATTCAGACTCTTTTGAGCATGCAATGCACAGAATTTTTTAATTATATGACAGTTACAAGTATTTCCTAATAAAAGCTTGGAATTGAGGAAATCACACATTTCAGTAGGGATGGAAAAGCAGCAATTCAGGAAATGTGTTGTGCCAAGAGTATTCTTTACAGGAAAACACTAATTTCTTTTTTTGTAGGATGAGAGATACTGCGAGAAAAGTGGAAGAAAAATATTTTTCCAATCTTGCAACGCACGTGGAATTCCTTCCAGTGGAGTGGAGATCAAAGCTGACCCTCGATGGAGGTACAGGACTGGCAGCTGCAGGATGCAGAATTCTCACCTTTGCTCTCTCCTTGTGCCTTGCTTGGATTTTGGTTGGGTTTTGAACTATTCCCATGCCTGGGAGTGTCCAGGCTGGAGCATCCTGGCACAGTGCAAGGTGTCCCTGCCATGGCAGGGGGTGGAACTGAGTGATCTTTAAGGTCCTGATGCCTTGAGGAGCTGGAGCAGAGGCTACACACAGAGTTAAAGGGAATAAAATGGGTGTTTATTGAGAGGGCTACAAAAGCCACACCATGGCAATGTCAGTGGCACAGTGGTGGCCCCTGCCTGGATGGCTCCAGGATGGAAGGAAAGGAGGGGGTTGGTCACAAAATCTCACACTTTGATAGGTTCTGGTTAATTTGCATGAACCCACCCTCCACCTTTCCACGGAGTTTGTGCTCAGGGCCTGAAGTTTGGAGAAACTGTCCTTGAGTACTGAACTGGAACAGGACTGGTGTGGTGACTGCACTGCAGAGAGAGAGAAAGGACAGCAACACACACGGAGCTCTTTGGGGAAAAAAGGCCAATTGATTGTACAGACAGCCCGGATTTAAAGTGTGTCAGTGCAGCCAGGACAGGACAGGAGCTCATGGGACAATTGGGAAAAACATCCTTGGGACAGCACCTCAGGATGTGTCCCACGGGAAAGACACCAGGGGTTAATATTGGTGATGAATTCCACTCTGTTTGTCACCATGTTCTCACCCTGGGAGACTCCTCCCTAACTGAAGCTGCAGTCAGCTTGTCAGCCTGGGAATGGAGCTGAGAGTCAGGAGAAATCCAGGCCTGAAAAAGAATTTCCAGGCTGGAATTCCCCAGCTCTGTGAATGTGTGTGTCCCCACAGACTGGTTTGTCTTCATCACCCCAGCGCATCAGAAAAGCACATCCAAGGAGAACAGGAAAACTTAAAACTAAAGGCATCAGTCCCCTGCAGCCCAAACCATTCCACGATTTTATTGAATCGTTCTCCTGGCTGTAAGTTAAGTCTCCTCTTGTATTTTTTTTTTATTTTTTTTGCAGACACCGTGGACTCCATCACTCCGGACAAAGTGCGGGGATTGCGGGACATGCTCAACAGCAGCGCCATGGACATCATGTACTACACCAGTCCTCTCTACAGGGACGAGGTGGGTCTGCAAAAAAAAAAAAAAAAAAAGTGCTTTTGTTTCAATTTCACCAGAGCAGGGCAGAGAGGCTGAAAAAAAAAAAAAAATCTGGATTTGGGAATGTCAGGAAATCTCCCTTCTAAGGAAAACCAAAGTGAATTGTGTTAATACTTTGTAAGTGTGTCGTGATCACCCACAGTGAGCAGAGTTTTAATACTGAGAGGGGAAGAAGGACAGCAAAAAGTACAATCCGTGTCATTTATTTAGAGCAGAAATGTCTAAAATGGTTCTGTATCAACAGATGAGAAATGGGAAAGGGTTTAATGTTGTTCTTCTTAATTTCTGCATCTTTAAAGCAGTTGAGAGTCCATAGAGCTGAGGTTCTTTTTACCTCTGACAGAATCCATGGATATTTGTCACTTCATTTTTTGCTGTTTCTGAGGACAGATGGGATGGCAGCACGAGCAAACGTGCCCAAGCCAGTCTGAACGCATTTGTGTGCCATGCAGGGAAACCAAAATAATCCCCAGTTTCTCAGTTTATTAAGGGACTGTTCATACCCTGGATACTCCCATCCTACCTTGACCCCATCTGTGTAGCTGTTGAGTGACCCCATAAATCAGAGGAGCAAGACCAGGAATTTGATCATAAATTATAGTAAATAAATAATGATAAGTCTTGAATAAATGATAATAACCTGAATAAATGAAGTAGCCCATAAAATATAGAGAGTGCTTTACCCCAGTAGCATCCCTTGTGTATCACACTCACTAGAAAAGCCCTGTGGGGCTGTTTTAGGATTAATTTCTGTAGGAATTTTAGCTTTGTTCTGTTATATGTGGAGTAATGTTAATCCTTTTTGCAGCCTTGATACCCTGAGCGTGGTTAGACTGGGGCAAGGTGAGACTTCTAAATCTTACCTGGGTACTTGATGCTACCTTTCAATCAAATTCGGTGTGTTGACATCCTTTAGACTGGCAGCACAATTTTCAAACTGAAATCTGTACCTCTCTTCCTGCTCATTAATGCAGAATTCATTGATCAGGGCTCTCCACTGTCTCTCAGGTTTCCCTGTCTGTTGTGTGCCTGAAGCCAACATGAACTTTTGTGGCAAGCAATGGAAATTCCTCTGGCAGCTTGAGAACAGATATTTTTAAGCTGCATTAGAGGCTTGGCATGAGTGTGAGCATCTCATGGGAGATGGGTTAGTGAGTAAAGTTCAGGTGTGCTGGCCAGCAGTGTGTGAAAATTTAATTCATTGCTCAGCAGAACTGCAGTTTTACAGGTTTATCACCATCCCCTGGGTGTGAGAACTGACAGAGAAGCATGCTTAGATCTGATTACAAAATACTAAAGTTGGTTTTCATCAAGTCAAATTAATTTCCTTGAAATGTTTGCAGCAGTACACATATGTTAGTCTTCCTTATCCCATTTTATTTTCTGTGAGCTAACTTTGCAGACTTTAACACACAAATGGAACGTTCCTCTGGATGGTTTTCCCATCTTCAGTGTGTTTTTCTTGTGGCACTTTGCTCCTTCCAGCTCAGCAATGAGCCTTGTCTTTGAGGATTCATTCACATGGTCACACATTGCTCAGAATTAATGTCCCTGCTCACTGCTCGATCACCCCAGCACAATTCTTTGTGTACTCTGGGCACTTCCAGGGCTTTCCACCCAGAAATCCTCAAAGGAGCTCAAAAGGAAATTATTAAACTTCCCTTTGCCCCTGGGAAATAAACTGAGGAGTTTATGAGCTCAGCCTAGAGTGAAGCTGCTGGCTCTGAGCAGCCACAGATCCCAGCCTGGTTTGGGTTGGAAGGGATCTGAAAAATCCATCCCATCCCACCCCTGCCATGGCAGGGACACCTTCCCCTGTCCCAGGCTGCTCCAAGCCCTGTCCAGCCTGGCCTGGGACACTTCCAGGGACCCAGGGGCAGCCACAGCTTCTCTGGGAATTCCTGCCCAGCCAGGAATTCCCAATATCCCAATATCCATCCCTGCCCTCTGGCAGTGGAAGCCATTCCCTGTGTCCTGTCCCTCCATCCCTTGTCCCCAGTCCCTCTCCAGCTCTCCTTTAGGCTCTGCAAGGGGCTCTGAGCTCTCCCTGGATCCTTCTCCTCTCCAGGGGAACATTCCCAGCTCTCCCAGCCTGGCTCCATCCCTTGGAGCATCTCCTGGATTTTCTCTGGACTCTCTCCAGCGGCTCCTTCTGCTGTTGGGAGCCCCAGAGCTGGCAGAGCATTCCAGGAGGGCTCTCCTGTGTCCAGGGCAGGGGCACAATCCTGTCCCTGTCCCTGTCCCTGTCCCTGTCCCTGTCCCTGTCCCTGTCCCTGCTCCCCTCCACGCCAGGGCTGCAGCCCAGGACCCCCCTTGGCATTTTTGGGCTGCAGGCACCCAGGGCACAGCGCTGGGATAGGAATTTTCTTTCCCTTTTTTCAAGGATTTTCCCCACAACTTCTCCTTTCGAGCTCCTGGCCTCTCTGAGCAGCTCATTAAGGGGTTTGCAATGGCAAAATTCCCCTCTCCTCCTGCCAGGGGAAGGAGCTTTGTCGTGCTGGTGTCACAGGAGAGCTCAGAGCTCTCCAGGGGCTCTGGATTGCTCATTCCAGCCCTCCCAGAGCCTGCTGGGTGAGCCCCTCTCTGATTTCAGCTATTGTTTCTTCTCCAGGACAATATCCAAAAGGTGCCTGTGACTGGTGGCATGTGATGTGATACCAGACAGGCATTCATTAATAATTCAGCACAGCCCCCTGAACGTCCCAGGCTGGTGTCAAACTGCAGCCAGCACATTCAGCTGGGCTGGATTTTGTGGGAGACAACTGTGCTGTGTCCTCCTCTGTGCCAAATCCCTCCTGAAATGTTACCCAGATGTAAGAAAAAGCAATAAATTGATATTCTGATGCACACAGGCCTCTGTCTGAATGAAGGGTCGTTTCACATTCTGCCCCTGACCTTACTGGTCCATCTGTGGTAATGTAATCTTGGGTTTTAGTGTCCTCGGTGGTGACTTTGTTTCACATCTGTGTCACTGTAGCTTCATATTTCTTTAATAATAAATGGTTGCAACAGGGATCCCAAAGACTCGTTGTTGCATAGTAAATTCAGAGTTGTCACCTTCCTTATACTGTTAAGTGCCTTTTTCTAACTGATCTTCCCTTCACTTACTTGCAGGCTAATTGGCATTCTGTTAATTATTGATAAATGTCTCGGCAGAAAATGTCTTTAGTGCAGGATAAATATAATTTACTTCCATCATTCCAAGATTTCTAAGGATTTAGTGCAAATATTGCACTATAAAAGTGGAGAAACTTCAATGTCCATCCTAGAATTACTGAATAGTTTGTGTTGGAAGGGACATTAAGGACAATCTCATTCCAATCCCTGCCATGGGCAGGGATATCTTCCACCAGAACAGGTTGCTTAGAATCCTGACCTTGGAGTGGCTTCATGGTTTGCCCTTATACACATAATTAAAAAGAGAATTAATGACTAACCCCTTGAAATTTGGGACAAGTATTATCTCTCACCAGAGCTTTCACTCCCCTTGGTTTGCTTTGCAATGGAAATATCATTCTCTTGTGCACTCCTTTCAGCAGTAAAAGGCACCTGGCTCAGGTGTGTCTGAAAACAAGATGGGAAGCAGGAAATTTTAAGCTGAGACTATTTCAGGACTGGTTTTGCACATCCTGTTGAACCTAATAGTGAAGGAGCTGCTTGGCAGCACTTCCATGGCTGCTTTAATTAATTTGATTGCCCTTGAATGTATTCTCAGCTTCATAAAGTGATTGATTAGTGGCTCTGCCTGGACACCTAAACTTCATCTTGAGCACAGTGACTTGTTAGAAATGGGTTAGACTCAGCTTTTCAGCAGCAAGAGGGAGAGATTCAGGCAGATCCACAGATCCTTTCTCTGTATCATCCCTTCCCATCTGTTCCCACAGCCTCAGCTCATTCTGGCCTCTCATCTGTTGTTGTGACACTGCTCTGGCATCCATCAGTGATTCCATCAGGGAATGTGACAGCTCCTGTCTCCTGGGGGTCAGCAGCCTCACCAGCTCTGCTGCCACCTTCTCCTGGGCCACGTGGAGCACAAACTCCTCATCCTCCCTTTCCCAACCCTTCACAATCCACCCTGGAGCTGCTGCTCCTCCCTTGGCTTTCAAGGACCCTCTCCCCCCTCCAGCTGGCTCACACTCCCCGGTGCCTGCTGGCTGAATTGCAAATTTGCATTTTCTCCTGAAGTTCTCTTGACGTTTGGAAAGAGCAGAACTCACCATTCCTCAGATCTCCTTCACATTCCTTTCCCACAAAGCCTGCAGGAAGAGTCTTCCTCTTCAGGCTGGCAGGTCAGGTGTCCTGCACTCCCTTTCCATAGGTTACCTGTCTCTTTGTTTTATTTTTCTTTGTATTTCTTTGTATTTTTCTTTGTATTTCTTGTTTTTTGGGCTTCACACTGTTCATGTGGGAAGATTGTCAGTGGCTGAGGATCCTGTGGAGACAGCACAGGGAAAAGAGCAGCACCCAAGCTCTGTGTTACTGCTGTGCTCAGGTGCCAGCAGGGCTTTTCTGCTCCTTGTTTTCTTAAAAAAAAAAATTCATTTCCTGGATATTGAGAGGAAAATGTCATTTTCTACACTGGTAATTTTGGGTGTGCACTGAAAAGCCTCTTCCACCACAGTGGAATGGATCAGGGGATGGAATTCTGGTGTGGGTCCAGGGGGTGTTTGTCCATCCACACATCCCAATTTCCTTTTGCTTTTCCAGAACATTCTGTCCATGATTATTTATGCTGGTGGCTTCAAGGCTGCTTTTCCTTAGAGGAGGGTGAACAGCTGTTTGATGTGCTGGATCTGGAATTTAGGGGTTGAACAGCTTGGGACACTGGTGTTAGAATTTAGGGCTTGAACAGGAATTTGGGATACTAGTGCTGGAATTTAGGGGTTGAACAGGTGTTTGGGATGCTGGTGTTGGAATTTAGAGGTTTGGATTTTTCCAGCCTGGCACAGGATGCTGTTAATGCTCTGCACAAAAGGGCAGCAGCTCTGGGTATCTCATTCCTTCCCCAATTCCTTGTTCCCAATCATGATCCAGCAGTTCAGGCTTGCCCAACAGCCAGGAGGTGATAAAAGACAATAAAAGACACGATTCTGCTGCCCTTTCTATCAGTGTTCTTCAGCCTGAGGTGACAGGGATGTGTCACCTGGCTCAGAATCCCCATCTTGTCCTTACAAAACCCCTGTGCCACCAGGATTCCCGGATGGATGGCATGGGCTGTTATTTTTTTGCCCTCTTTGAAGCCATGTGCCACACAGGCACAAAGCTGGGAAAGCAAAAGGCATTTTTGGCCTCATCAAATCCAACCTCCTGCTCCTTGGTCAGCACTCTGGTTTTTGGCTGGAATTGCATGGAATTGGCAGCTCCCTGTGAATGTGCAGGAAGATCATTCCTTACTCTGCCCTAAATTTGGTTTCTGAAGGGCAGAGAGCTTTTAACCTCAGTTGGTTTGAATATGAGCTGCTGCCTTTGAGCAACCTGATCCTGCAGGCTTGAGTTTCCTGCAAGGAGGATTTACTGGCAAAACTTCAGCTGATAAAGGGAGAGAATAATGCCAGAATGGTTTGTGTTGGAAGGGATGTTAAAATCCCATCTCATTCCAAACCCCTGCCATGGCAGGGACATCTCCCACTATCCCAGGGTGCTCTGGATTTGGAAACTTCCAGGGATCCAGGGCCTCCCCACCCTCCCAGCCAGGAATTCCTTCCCAATATCCCATCTATATTCCCCTCTATCAATGGGAAGCCATTCCCCCTTGTCCTGTCATTCCAGGCCCTTTTTTTTTTTTAAATATTTCTGTGTCCTAGGGCTGATGCTAAATGAGCACTGAGGTAGGAGGGCCAGCTGGAAAGATGGGATTTAAAACAGCTTTTCTGGAAGAAACAAGAATTGTTCCCTTTGTTACAGTGTTTGATCTGCTCAGAAACAGGTAAAGGTTCTGCATTCCCTGCTCCCTTTGGAAGAGCCAAGGGTGATGGAGCAGCTGACAGGGAAAAACATCAGCTCAGTCCACTGCTGCCTCTTTTATTCTTTTGTGAGATATTTGAGCTTGTTTAGTCTGGGGGAGAAGCTTTAGGAGGTGGGCAGAGACCCTTAAAATGGGCTGGGCAGAAACTCAAGGAATCTCTGGGCTTTTTGTAAGGAGAGCCCTATGGGATGGATGGAGAAACAGCTCCCAGTGTCCCCAGAATGAGCTGGGAACTGGGAGGGAGGATGGAAGAGGGGAATTGGGGAGAGAGAGAGGAGTCTGGTCATGCTGCATTCCACATTCCCACCGTTCCTGGGATTTTTTTGGGGGGTGATTCCTGCTCTCCTGTTCTTCCCAAGCTCATAACAGATCCCATGGACCAGCAGGTGCTGAGGTTTGGGGCTGGCAGGAGCAGCAGGGAAAGCAGTGGGGAAAATGCTGCTGATTTCAGCAGGAATTCCTTGGCTGGAGGTGCAGTGAGAGCAGGAGAAGCTGTCAGCAAGCTCAGGATGAGGAACCCAATTCCCATAAGCCAACCATGAGATGCAGACATGGAGCAGCCACTTGGATGTGCTGGGTTTGGGAGGTTGAGGAGGGAGTTGTTATTTTGTTATTTTTATTGAAGACCCTTTAGAGGGAGTAGAAAGACAAGCTGTGCATAAAAAAATCAGCTCTTTAAAAATTTATTGTAGTGATGCCATTTAGGAGAGAAAATTTGATAGGCACTCATGTTTTTTATGTTTAAATCCAATTTTAGGCAATGCAAAGCCACTTACTGGTTTTAGAAGTATGTTTATATGGGCTATTAGTAAATATCAAGGTGCAACTACAAAAGATTTGAAAGCAGTTCATGTTGCATTTACTGGACTAAAAACCTTTTTCAAATCAAACTTTTCTTTCACAAGTTGGAGTATTTTATGAAGGCAAAGAAGCAAATCAGGATTAAATCATAGAATGCCTTGGACTAGAAGGGAAAAACATCCTCTAGTTCCATCCCCCAATAAATATTACCTTAACTTCATATACTGCTTAACCAAACAGGTTTTTAGCTGGGACTTTAAATGAATATTCATTTTCTTTTTGGTTCCTTTTGTTTTTCTCCTTTTTTTTTTTTTTTTTTTGCCTTACTCTGCACCACAAAGGTTCAGTTTCTAATCTTAGGACTGGCACAGGGCTGTTGGCAGGACACCAACATGGATAAGTGCTCCCTGCAGGTGGAGGGCTCCTGGTTTTGGCAGAGCAGCAAACCAGACCATTCCCAGTGCCTGGAAATCTGGAGCCTTTCCCACAGCAGACCTTCCACTCCACAATTACTCCACAATTAGGGATTTGGAGTTTAGGAATCATCTCCAGCAGATGATTTGGTTGAATTCAGTGCTTGGACTCTGGTCTGTAAAATTGTAAATGTGCACCTATTTGGAAATCCGTGAAGCATTTCTTTGTTGTGTCCATTTTGTGTCTGACTTCCCAATAAAAGCAAGTTTTTGAGGAGGAGGAGGATTAAAAACAGGGCTGGGCTCAGTGTGCAAGCAGGATTTTCCACGAATATTCAGTTTTATGCCCTCAGATTGCAATATCAGATGTTTATCATGAAAATGCCACGATGCCAGAAGATTATTTACCCATTCCTGCCAGGAATCCCCAAACACTTTGATTTCACCTGATTCCTGCTACGTTGTTCTGAGTTTTAATCAAAACCTTTTTAAAGGGAGAAAACACCAGCCAGCCACAGCTCATCCTGATTGATATTTTCAGCTCCAGCTCTTGCTGGAACCTCTGTTGAGATGTGAAAATTTGTGCCCACAGTCTGTGTAAACCCAAATGGAAGAAGAGGCAGCATCACAGTCAAAAAATACTTGAAAAATACTTGAAAATGGATATTCTGATACTCTTTTCTCCAGGCTGCTGCAGGGCTCTGTTAATCATTTCACAGTGCTGCAGGCAGAGGGTTTGTTGTGTGGATTCTCACTCACTAAAATGTGTATCAAACACTGGCACTTGTGCTGCCATTCATATTTATATTCAGTAATGACTCAGGCTCTTGAAAAATCATGTTGAAATTATATGTTCCATGGCTTTAATTTCCCGTTGCTAACGAGGGAATGATTTGCACTGTCTTGTTTGTCCTCCTCCCTGCCACAGCCTGGAAGCATTGCTCAGTTTCCATGCTGGCATTCACAGGCAAAGCTGGCTTGGTTTTTTTTTTTTATTTGGGTTTTTTGGGGTTTTTTTTTTTGTTTGTTTGTCTGGTTTTGGGGGGTTTTTTTGTCTGTTTTTTTTTTTGTTTGTGTTTTTTAATTGTTTTATTTTGGTTTTGGTTTGGGGTTTTTTGTGGGTTTGGTTTGTTTTGTTTTTGTTTTTGTTTTTGTTTTTGTTTTTTTGCATTGGCCAGTTCCCAAATCTCATGGTTTCTAGTATTTCTCTCTAAAATACTTCCTGGGATGCTGTACTTTTGTATCCTACACTGTAGGGTTTGGAGCAGATAAGCTTCTCAGAGACTCCATGAGCACAGGACCAACATTTATTTATTTATTGCTGTAGTACTGTAGGATTTGTTTGTGATTTTTCAGAACCAGGTTGCACTCCTGCTTTTCCCCGGAAATCCCTCCTGGAAACCTCTAACCAAAAACTAGTTTTTTTAAGCATTGTTTATATCAAATGTTCACATTCTGGCTCTGTTTTTTACCTTTTTTCTTCCTGTATCATCCTCTTACCTGACATGAGGCTTTTGATTTTTTAGCAGCATCATTTCACTCTGATCCCTTGGGAATCATTTCCAGCAGGTGAAGGAAGGGAGGGAGGGAGGGCAGGAATCTGCCTCTCCTTTCAGCCAGGCAGTGAGGAGGAGGAGGAGGATGAAAACTGATGAGTTCAAGCCTGCTTTACTGAGCCCCAAAAGCAATTTGAGGATATTTTCCCAGAAGCCCTCCAGGCTGTCACTGCAGTGTCTGAGCACATCCCTTTTAGGGGATTTCTCTCTTCCCAGTCCCCTGTTGCTGTCAGTGACAAAGGGGAAGGGCTGTGAGCTGTTGGGAGGCTGATGCCGAGGTTATGGCAGAGGTGGGAGTTGATTCCAGGTCATGTGTGGCTCCTTCCATCCTCCTTCAATTCAAAAAGGAGCTGAACCTCTTGATACAAGAGGAGTGCTCAGTGCAGTGCTGCAGAAAATGGAAGAGAATCCAGCAAGAAGGGAAATAAATGCCAGCAGTCACTGTTGTGAAAACCAGGTGTTGCTCACCTCACAGGGTGCTGCTCAGTCCTTCAAGCCCCGCTGCCATTTATTGGGGTGTTTATTTCAATTTGGGGCCTTGGGCTGTGCACTGCAGCTGTTTGAGGGTCACCCCGTGTGCTGTGTGGTGGCTCTGGAGGGGAGGGATGAATTTCTGGAGTCAGTGACCAGCAGCCAGGCTGGTGCTGCTGGCTGTGGGATTGAGCTCACCTTCCCAGCCTGGTTTAACAGGAATGGGTCAGGGTGGGGTGGGGACATTCCTGAACATCAGCTGGAGCAGCAAGACGTTGATCCTGAACCCTGTGCTCTCCCTCTCAGCTGGTGAAGGGGCTGCAGCAGGAGCTGAACAGGCTCTACTCGCTCTTCTGCTCCCGGAACCCCGAGTTTGAGGAGAAGGGAGGGAAGGTGTCCATCGTGTCCCACTCCCTGGGCTGTGTCATCACCTACGACATCATGACAGGCTGGAATCCAGTCAGGCTCTACGAGCAGCTGCTGCAGAAGGAGGAGGAGGAGCTGGAGGAGAGCTGGATGAGCTACGAGGAGCGGCGTTTGCTGGAGGAGCTCTACATCACCAAACAACGGTAATGTCCCCCTGCCAGGGGCCACAGCAGATCACCACGGCCCTGCCAGCACCCTCGGGGTGTCCCCAGAACCCGGCAGGGCTCGTAGCTCTGCTGGCTGCTGTCCTTCTGCTGGGGCTGGTGGTAAATGCTGAACGCAGCACTGGGTGGGCACAGGGAGCTCTGAGTCCACACAGACCCATGGAATGGTTTGGGTTGGAAGGGATCTTCAGGATCATCCAGTTCCGACCTCCTGCCATGGGCAGAGACCTTCCCACTATCCCAGCTTGCTGCCAAGTCACATCCAACCTGGCCTTGGACACTTCCAGGGTTGGGGATGTTGTGGTGCTATGAGACACTCATTAGAGAATCTAAAATTAGCAACTCCAGTCACTCGAGTGAGACATGACAAATGATGAATCACGAGTTTTTGGTTCCTTCCTGAAACCAATGTGAGTATTGGTGAATTGGGAAGCATGAATATAGCAGCAGCCCTGCTGGGGTGGCAATCAGGGTGTGTCTCACTAGGGATGGGTGCAGGACGTCTGTGTCAGCTGCAGGGCTGGACTGAGCACAGGATTTCTGAGAAAAGGGAAGTTTAAAAACCTGATGAAGTGTTGCAGTGATAGGATGACCCTTCAGGCATGTCACAAACATATAATCAGGGAGAAATGGCCATTTTCTCACCCGTGCTCCAGCTCCTTAGGCATCCTCTGAAGTGCTTCCACAGAAATCCCAAGTATCATTTCAATCATTTGACACTGGCACTTCTGCACAGAAAGAGGGGCTCTCCCTTCTGTGAGCAATTCAGTGTGAAATGATGGAAAATGGACTCCTGACATCCTGTAACCTCTGGAATTTACTGGGACTGGGAAGAGCTTTACCCATCCATACGTGTGCTTTGTGTTGTAGCTGCTTTTTTAATTCAGGCCAACGAGAAAAGCAGGTGAAAAACCTTTTTCCATGGTAGTTGAAAGGGTGGGACACCATCCTTCAGAAATTCCACCTCCATGCAGAGCTCCATAGTGCCCAGACCATTTCCTGTGGCTTTGTTGTTTTTTTTTGGGGGGTGGGGGTTTAAAACAAAATAAAGCAGGTGAATTTGGCTGCAAAATCACCAAGGAAACGGGAGGTGAGTCAGCTGCTCCCGAGGAAGGAGAGTGGGCAGATGCTTGGGGTGCTGAACAGGGGAATTGTCATGTCTTGATTGATCCCTTCTGTGGCCAGGGAAACAGGATTTGACAGACATTGGCTCTTGATGAGTTGCAGGAAATACTGACACCATCACTCTCTCTTCCCAGCAGACAAAACTGTTGGACCCCACAGGAATGCCTGTTTGGATCAGAGAGGTTAAAGCTGCATTTTTTATTGGATCTCAGAAAGATCTCTATTTTCTAGGTTGAGAGAGATAGAAGAGAGGTTACATGAGTTAAAGGCATCCACCATATCAAAACCACCTGTCTTAAAATTTAAGGTATGTATGTTTAAGAGGTTTCTACTGAATTCTTCTGCTTGCTGTAAAAATACACCTGCAATGTGAGTCATTCTGCTTACTTTTATTTTTTTCCCATGTCCCTAGACATGATTTTGGCAGAATAATTTGGATGTTGGGTGAAGCTTGTGTACCTATATGTAAAAATGTTGTTTCATTCATAGATTATTGTTATTTATTGCAGTTCTGTATTTGTAATAAATTTTGAGCAGCCTGGTCTAGTGGAAGGTGTCCCTGCCCATGGCAGGGGGTTGGAATGAGCTGAGCTTTAAGGTCCCTTCCAACCCAAACCATTCTGGGATTCTGTTACATGTGTTTATATGAAATTATGTGTAAACATATATGTAAATATATAGATTGTAAATCTATTTAATACATAAACCTAGTTGTTACATTGCACACACACACAATTCTGTGGGAAGGTAAAAACCATTTGGCAGATTACATCAATCACATACTTTAAACAGTTTTCACTTCGACTCCATTGAATAATCCATCTTCCTTGGGGACTCCTTTTAGCATGTCACATCTCTGAGCAAATCTGATTGAATTTCCTCCAGGAGTGGATTTTCCTTCCAAATTATTCTGCTCTGACAGCTAGCACACTTCCAGTCTCCTGAAGCAGATTGCTTGCTAATCAGCTGTGCAAATTGCTGGAATTCCTTATCTTTGGGCAAAGGCATTTTCCAGCTCCTGGGTGGGATGTGCAACACTTTCTAATTGCTCAACTCCATCCTAAAGTATTAAACCATAAAAATGTGACATGATAGGTGAGAATAAAATGGATTATTGTTTCTTAACTTGCCATTTTTCTTTCCTTATGAGTTCAGAAAGGCTCCTGGAAGCCAAGGTCAATGTTGAGCCATAAAAAAAAGAGGAAATCAGCCATAATTCAAGTTGTCACAGCCTTCTCCTTTTCATCACTGTTGGAAAGCATGTGTCAGGCTATTATCTCTGCCATCGAGGAAGCTGCAGTCAGGCTGGTGCTCCCCCAGCTCTGGGAAAGATTATTCTTCACTCAGTTTGAGCTGAAGGGTTTTTGGACAATTGCTTTTTAGATGGAGAGGAGAAAAGTGGAAAGAAACTTTAGATAAAGACTTAGGTAGATAAACTTTATCTACCTAAATAGATGAGATAGATCTGTAATCTTCAGGTGACATTTCCACTTCAGTTCATCCCTTACTGACAGGGAAATGTTTTGTTTCTTTGGGCAAGACAAATGCAAGAAGAAATAGAGCAGCTTGCTTGGTTCGTGCTTAATATTACAGAAAATGAAATTATTGACTCCATGGGAGGAAAAACCCCACAAAACATGAAGATGTGGGGTGTGTTGTGCTCTAATAAAATATTGGCCAAGCCATCAGAGTGGGAGCTTGAGTGGGGAGGGATCTTTGTCTCTTTTCTTCTGCTTCTCCTCAGATGGAATAATGGAATTATTACCTGCTAGACCACCAGGAGCTGTGGGGAGCAGAGCCAACACCCCATTGTAAATTTAAGATTTAGAATCACAGTCCTCTCCCCACCAGCCTTGGAAGAGGAGTTGGAGTTAAAGGATGAGGGGCTGAAGAATAAGGGAACATGGGGAATGGTGTGACACCAACCCCTTCATGCCTGTGGTGTGTGAAAATAGGAAATTTTTTTATTGCAGGATGATTTTCAGTCATGGGAAGAGGAGAGCAGGATGCTCCTTAGGATTGACATGGAAATCCCATTTAAATCTGGCCTTGCAATGTCCTGGCCCAAAAGACTTCAGGGTTCCTCTCACTGAGCCAAGAAATTCTTCTGGAGGAAATTCCAGCCTCTACCTGACATTCCTTTGTGCCCAGCACAGAAGGGCTCTGCTGCCTCACTTCTGTTGACTCATTCAGCTTTTTTTCTTTTTTTTTTTTTTTTTCACTTAATTATGAAAATACTGCATTGCTAAGTTGAATGGATGACTACTTGGCTCAGCTTCTGCTTAAAATACAAATAAATTCATCAAGTCTTGTGTTTATGAATCATAAGCAGGAGAGGAGTGCTGCTCTCAAAGGTCATTTTGTAAACATGTCTCCTGTGTTGTTGAACATTTACAGGAAAATGCCCCACTCCTGATTTCAGGAAAAACATCGAAATTTATAAATATTTGCTGGAAAGATTTTGATCTTCTATTCCCAGTAGGTTTTATAATACAGCAGCCTGATTTTCAGCCACCTTGCAACAGCACTGACAGTCTAATTAAAGGATTTGGGGTTTAAAATTGCAGAATTAAGGTTGGAAAAGACCTGTCCACAACTGAACCACGTCCCCAGGTGCCACATCCACATTAAATCCCTACAGGGCTGGGGACTCCAGCACTTTATCCATAGAAATGATGGGACAACAGTGGGACAAAAGCCACACACCATATAACCACTGAAACCAGTTACCTTTTGAGGTTTTTCCCAGTCCCTTTGGAGTGTCCTGTGCTAAGGACAAGCTGGCAGGCACTGTCTGATTCCTCCCTAAAGCAGAAAAAAACCAGAATTGTGCCTTTCACCTGCTTGACAGGGAAATATCAGCTGGACAGGGTTAGGGGTTACTTATTCCATTTAAAGGGGTTTTACTGGGAATGTCTCTTTCTGTTGTGTTTGAAGATGAAAAAGCTTTTTGTCCAAGCTGCCAAAACACGAGATCTGTGTAAAATCTTCTGGTGCTGAAGAAAGGAAAGGAGCTTTGCACCAAGTGACAATTTTAATGACAGAGCAGTGCTGGGCTGCATGTGACATGGAATAACCATGCTCAAAGTCGAGGGGTTTTTTTTATTTTCCCATTGAATTGGGATTTCTTTTGGAAGGAAGGGGTGTGACACCAGTGCCAACACAGAGGAGGAGGAGGAGGAGGAATGTTTTTTGTGCAGCACTGGAATCCAAGAGATGAAAAGAGCCATTATTCCTCATTCCATGTGCTGACATACAGGGAAGGCACGTGGCATTCCAAGGATCCTCCACATGCATTTAGCAAGAATTCAGCAACTTCTCTTGCTGGCTGAGTATTAGAAAATGGTAAAATTAATTTTCCAAGTAAGAAAATAAAGGTTGAAAGGTGATTTTGACTTAGGGAAATACCTTTTTCAGCAAGTTTTCCATTTGATGGTTTTAGCAGGTGATGTCTGAGGGTTGCTGGTGGGGGGGGGTCAGTGTTGAATCCTGACCTTGGATTGGTTGTAAAGACCCCAAAATGCAGGTTCAGTGATTTCTCAGATGTGGCAGCTCAGATTGACTTAGTTGGAGTTGGAGGCAGGACTTGAGAGCGAGGTCACAGCAGCTTTGGGTGACATCAGAGTGTCTCAGAGGGCTGTGCCTGCTCCTGGGACATGTGGCACTGGGGACAAGCACCATTCTGGTCACTTAGCACCAGCAAGAAAATCATGGACAACTTGTCAGGATAAGAATGAGGAGGTCTGGCAGGTTTGGGAAGCTCCAGGAGAAATCAGACTCATTTCTTTAGTGTCTCCCTAACTCTTCTTGCTCCATCCTTTCCAGCACTGGTAGACCTCAAATATTCCAGATTTTCAAATATCCAGCTTGATTTTTTGGTTTTAGCACCCCGACATGCAGCCAAAGGCAGTTTAACCCTCATTTATTGATGTCATGGTGTCCTTCCCTGTTTGGACCCACCAAGACTTCGAGTCCCCCCTCTTAAAATCAGGTGGAGAGAGAAACCAAATCCAGCAGCGTTAGGAAACATCATTTCCATCCTCTTTTAACATGGATGAAATCTCTCCCCCAGGTTGAGAATTTCTTCTGTATGGGATCCCCCCTGGCAGTGTTCCTGGCCCTGCGTGGGATCCGTCCTGGCACCAGTGGCAGCCAGGACCACATCCTGCCCAGAACCATTTGTAACAGGTTATTAAACATCTTCCACCCTACAGATCCAGTGGTGAGTCTTCAATTTCAGCCTCAAAGCTTTCACTTTGCCTGATTTTTAAAGCTCTGGGATAGTGTGGGATCTTTAAAGTGTGTGAGTCAACAGCGGGGTGTTCCAGCAGGGGATTATTTGTTGATGGTTGTTATACAATGGCTTGGGGTTTGGAAGTGTAGGATTGCATTTCCTACAAATAATTGCTGTAAATAACTTGTATTTTGCTTCTCTTTTCATAGTAATAAGCATAAGATTTGGGGTTGTTGTGATTTTTTTTTTCTAAATAAATATTCCTTGTTCAGACAAGGATTTTGTGTTTAACTTCCGTTAAAACATCATCTGTCCAAAGATGTTAAAAAAGGCTTCACAAGCAGTTTACAAGATAATCTAGAAAAGCATAGACTGGGATTTTTTTCCCAAAGGATCCCAAAGGTTTGTTGATAGCATTTGGGAGAGGATTATTGGTGTAGCTTTGCCTTTTCCTTATTCCACAGCAGCCAATGTTGGCTTTTACCAAATCAATACTGAACCTTTGGTCTGCATCCCCTTGGTAACTTCTCTGATGCAAATTTGATTTGGAATTTCATGTACAACAGCAATTTGGGGATGCTTTCCTATTTAAAGTAGCTGAATTTAAGTATATTCAGACTTCAATCCAAACATGGTGTCTTGGATTAGTTTGGGTTTCTGGTTAATGTACTAATAAATGTTATAGTTTAGGTTTGCTAATTTTAATATATTTATTTATTTATTATTGTGAGGTAGAAATAGGAGTAAAAGTAAGATAGGCTTAAAATTTAAAAGAGTGTAAAGAAAAGCTTTATTAACAACACAAAGAAAATAATAAATTTAGAATAAGACCCTGCCCTCCCTTCAATGCACAACCAACACATGTGGTCATGTTCAGCTCCAGCTACTGCAGAATTTTCCTGGATTATCAGGGACAATTGGTTCCACTCTGCCAATAGTAATTTCACTTAGTTCTAAAATAAAGAAGTGCAGGATGCTTTTCTACATCTAAGTGGACAAAGAGAAATAAATAATCAAGAGGAAAATATTTTTTAAATAAACACAACTCATGATTTGCACAGGGATCAACAAAGAGCCATCAAACAAAATGTTTACAAAGCCAATTCCTCTTTATTGTGTTGGGATCAGCTTAACTTTACATGAAGTTTGTTCTCTAAGTAAAACCATCTGTGTGTTGGTAACAATGTGTAGTACAAGTGTTGTAATCCAGGTGTTGCAGAGATGTGCAAAAGTGAGCTCACAAGGAACTGTGAGATGATAAATCTTCCAAACTAAAAGTGAAATTTATTCACTAAAAATGAATATTTCTTTATTCACTAAAAGTGAATCAGACCATAACACCACCACTGTGTCACCTTCTAGGCTTTGCTTAGGATAAATATTCTGGATTTGAGTTTGCAGAGAGCTGTGGATGGGAAGGGAAAGTGATTTCTTTTTTTATTATCCCAGGATTGATCTTCACTCCAAATTCCCCTTGCAGGCTTACAGATTAGAACCCTTAATCCTGAAACACTACAGCAACATCTCACCTGTGCAGATCCACTGGTACAACACAGCCAACCCCCTCCCCTACGAGCACATGAAGCCAAATTTCCTGAACCCCAGCAAAGAATCTACCTCAGCCCCCGAGCCCGAGAGCGCCTCGGCAGCGCCCAGCCCCACCACGTCCCCTGTGCTGCTCAGGCGCCACTATGGGGAGTCCATCACCAACATTGGCAAAGCCAGCATCCTGGGTAAGGGCTCTGGGGTGGGGATGGCACATCCAGAATCCTGGGAGATGTCCCTGGGGTGGGGATGGCACATCCAGAATCCTTGCAAATGTCCCTGGGCTGGGAATGGCACATCCAGCATGCTGGGAAATGTCCCTGAGATGGGGATGGCAGATCCAGCATCCTGGGAGATGTCCCTGGGATGGGGATGGGATATTCAGCATCCTGGGAAATGTCCCCTCTGTCCCCAAGCTGGGTTGGGAGATCCTTGGGGAGCTTCACTGCTCCTTGGGGTTGGGGCACAGCCCTAAGGAAACTCAGCTCTGGAGCCAGGCTGGGAGAGCTGGGAATGTTCACCTGGAGAGGAGAAGGATCCAGGGAGAGCTCAGAGCCCCTTGCAGAGCCTAAAGGGGCTCCAGGAGAGCTGGAGAGGGACTGGGGACAAGGGATGGAGGGACAGGACACAGGGAATGGCTCCCACTGCCAGAGGGCAGGGATAGTGGGAAGGAATTCTTCCCTGTGAGGGTGGGGGGCCCTGAGGATTTTCAGAGAAGCTGTGGCTGCCCCTGGATCCCTGGAAATGCCCAAAGCCAGGTTGGACAGAGCTTGGAACAATCTGGGGTAGTGGAAGGTGTCCCTGTCCATGGCAGGGAATTGAAACTGGATGAGCTTTAAGATCCCTTCCAACCCAAACCATTCCAGGATTCCTGTCCCTTGCACAGAATCAGAGAATTGCTGAGGTTGGAAGTGACCTCTGGATCCACCCCCCAAAATCCTCCCTGGCAGAGGGTGGTTTCAGTGAGTTCTGTAGGTGTCTGGCTTGGTTTAATCCCAGCTGACATTTACTTTGAAATAAAACCCAGTTTATGTGCATTGGAGTCAAAGCTTGGGGGAGATGATGTAGTTCATGCAATTGCTGCCTTATTTTTTGTCTGCCTTATTGAAGTAACATCCCAGTGATTTAACAGTTTCCACTTGCTTCGTGGAAAAAAAAAATTAAATTAAAGCTTGTCTTCTGATTCCATTTTCTGTTATTGGCAAATAGCAGAAAAATCACACCATATAACCCATTACAGTTACCTTTAACTCATAATTCTACAATAGGAAATTCAGGCTGGTTTAATAGAAAGTCTCTTCTTTTCTGGCTTTCTGAGTCAAAATAAGCCCTGGTTTAAGTGAGCTTAAGTTCCCTTCACTGGAGCTTATACTTGATCATGCACTTGCAGTTTTTGTTGACTCAAGGCTTTTCTTTAGCTCTCTGTGTGGGATTTGGGAGAAACCTAGTGCCAGGAGTCTTCCTAATCAAATAAGAATATAAAAGCAGTTTTTCCTCAAGTAGAAATTTTTCAGAGCAGAGTGGCTTTTTTGGGGGTTTCTATAGTAACTTTAATGTCTCGTCCATGAGGTGGCAGCAGAGTCGGGATAAAACATGACAAAACTACTCTTAACTTTTATATCCCTCTTCCTAAGCCACCAAAATAATCCTTTTAAAGGATGATGTAACATTTTTAAAGGTCTGTTAGGGCACTGAACCCTTAATAAGTGAAATATCTTAAATGTGATAATGGGATTTTTAAATGCAGAAGGCACCGACACGGTTAGAAAGCATTTTTGGTTTAGAATTTATGAAAGAGGAATCACAACATATCCTTCAAAGCACCAGATTTCTCTCTGCAGATGGATTTCATAGGGGTTTTTTTTGGTTTTTTTGCCCCCTAACTACAGCTTCCAAATTCCAGCTTTTGTACATGAGATGAGTTTGGGGATAAACAGAGCCCAGTCCAGTCAGATGTTCCCACCCCTGGAAAACACCAGGAGTGTTTCCCATCCCTCAGCTCTAATTAATGGGTGCTGCAGTGACTTTAATTTGCAGTGACTTTAATTTGCAGTGACTTTAATTTGCAGTTGGATTGATGCATCCTGGGCTGTTTTTTTTTCCCCCTCTGTGCTGGCTGCAGGAGCTGCAAGCATTGGGAAGGGCCTCGGTGGGATGCTCTTCTCCAGGTTTGGCCGGTCCAGTGCCACCCCCCAGACCATGGAGGCAGGAAAAGATGGACCTGAGGGGGATGAGAAGAAAGCCACCACTGTCGGGACCCCACCTTTGCCACACAGCAGCTCGGGATTCCTTGAACCCACAGGTGAGTGATGCCCACCCTGTTAGGTTCAGGGAAACAAGAGTGGGATGGGGAGCTGGAAATGCCATAACTTCACACTAAAGGATTTGCTCTTGTGGGTTTGCCATAAAGTAATAAATGTTGGATATCAAAGCCAGCTTGGACAGGGCTTGGAGCAACCTCTGGGGTAATGGAAGGTGTCCCTGGCCGTGGCAGGGGTGGAATGAGATGATTTTAAATGTCCCTTCCAACCCAAACCATTCTGGGATTCTGTGAATCTGTTCCTAGGTTGGATTGGAAGGGACCTTAAAGCCCATCCCATCCCATCCCACCCCCTGCCATGGGCAGGGACACCTTCCACTGTCCCAGGCTGCTCCAAGCCCCAATGTCCAGCCTGGCCTTGGACACTTCCAGGGATCCAGGGACAGCCACAGCATCTCTGGGAATTCAATCCCAGTCCCTCCCCACCCTCAAAGCCAGGAATTTCTTCCCAATATCCCATCCATCCCTGTCCTCTGACAGTTTAAACCCTTTTTTCCACCTAAACTCGCAGTTCCCCATACATTTCCCATTCTGTTGGACTCTGGATTTTAGGACATGTATGACTGGAAACAGAAGCTGCCCTTGTCCTGATCTGAACTGCTCAGAAACAGAAAGTGCAATTTTAGCAGCTGGGTTTTTTTGAAAAGCATAGGTACTTCCTGTCAGGAAATTCATCCTTGGATTTATTTCTCAGCTGTGCCCCTTGGCACTGCTGCAGGACACAGGGTTTTTGGTTTTTTTTTGGTTTTTTTTTTTGCAATCGAAGGAGTCACAAGCGTCCTGTGACAGCATTCACATGATGGATTGCTGTCTGTCCATACTAATTGCAACAGATAAACCTGTCTGAGTCAGTGTTGGAGGGCAGGAAACTTTGGGTCAGACGTGAGGGAAGTAGAGAAGCAGGACAGGGAACATCACACAGCTGCCAAGGGGGTCCTGTCAGGGGGGGAGTTGGCACCCTGAGGGTTTCCTGCATGGATCCCACATCTCCCCGTGCTGCAAAACCATCCCTGCTCCATGGAAGGAGAAGGTGGAGCAGAGGCCAGCGGGGCTGGGAGCTGAATGATGCAATCCCCACCAAAGGCTGTGCTCACACTGGGCTGAGCTGGGCTTTGGCTCCTGCCCAAGCTCCCGTAACGGCCTCTCCGAGTGGCCTTCCTGCACAGCCACTGCGTTTTTTGTTTTTTTTTTTTTTTTTTTTTGGATAAACTCTCCTTCTTGGAAATGATTCTGCTTGTCTGCTGGTGTTCCAAGGTTCCTGGCTGCCTGTGCTTGCTGCAGAGTGGGGCAGTGCTCCCGGGGAAGCAGGGAGAGCTGTGCGATGCTCCCTCTCTCTGCTCCTCCTTTCTGTGCCAAGAATTAAAATTCCTCCAAACTGCCTTTGATAAATGGCTGCATTTTTGACTCAGTCTAGGGGGTTTGGTTTTTGTAGCTCAGCAGGCTTTTAGGGTTGGTTTTTTTTTTTTTTTTTTTTGTCCTTTTTATTTTATTGCTCCTCGTGGAGATTTTCTGACCTCTGAAGTGCCTCAGCAATAGGTTAACATTGGCCCAGTTAAAATGCAGTGGTAATTGCTTTGGATGTGGCATTAATCAAAGCAGCCATTGAAATAAAAGGGTAACTGCTGAAATATACTTGGAATAATCAGGATATTAAAAGGGCAGAGCTGTGGAGGGACAGCTTTGCAGGAAGGGCTCGTAGTGTTGGGTGTTGTCTCCTTGCATAGACAATAAAAATGCAAGAAATGCATTTATTTCAGAAAGCTTCCTCGTAGGGCCTCAGCATTTGGTGGATATTTCTTGTAGTTATCATAACAAGTATAAATAAATATATTTATAGAGTTACAATAAGGAAAACAGCTGCTTGAAAAAAAAAACTGTCTTTTCTCGAGCTGAGAATCACAGAATCATTCAGGTTGGAAAAGACCTCTAAGAGCAAGTTTAGTTTTCTTTCTTTTGCTTTTTTTTTTTTTTTTTAACTGAGCTCAGCACCACTCTTAGGTTTGTGCCAAATGCACGAGGTGCATTAAAATGTATTTCTATATTATTAAATCTTGGTGTAGTTGAGTGCCCTGTGAAATGTAAGCACAGAGGGATTTTGTGCTTTGTTTGTATGACAGAATCAGAACCCGAAGCTCTGGGGTGTTTTTGCAGCTCTAACACCCCTCTTGTTCCTTTTCTTGTTCCTTTCCTTTTTTCTTTTCCAGTGGAACTGGAGCACAGGATCGACTTTGAGCTCAGGGAAGGTCTGGTGGAGAGCAGATACTGGTCTGCAGTCACATCCCACACTGCTTACTGGTCATCCCTGGATATTGCCCTTTTCCTCCTCACCTTCATGTACAAACAAGACCAAGAAGAGACTGACAAATCCAATTTAGACACGATGTGAATTTTTGGCTGGGGGACAGGAGAGGAAACTTTCAAAACCAATGGCACAAAGTGGATGTTTGACTGCAGAGCTGCAGGACCTGTGGCATGGAGGTTTCAGGTTTAAGTGCATGTTTGGGGGGGGGGGCGTTTCTCTATTTCTGAAGAGAAGAGGTTATTTGTATTTCAAAGCACTTTATAGTTTTCAACGTTTTGCAGTGCTGAATTAGACCTGAAAGGATTCCAAATTCCTGTCAACGTGGACTGTACAAAGAGCCAAGACAGCATTGTAGCATCCCGTGGGCAGTTGTGCTTGGGTGACATCCTTGTTAATGACCATAATTGCTGTTTAGTTCATTAAACTATTAAAAAAAAAAATTAGTGGATTAAAAAAAAAAAAAAACAACAAACCAAATTTGATTTCCATTAACAAAAAAAAAAAAAAAACATGTTCAGTACAAACCTAAACCTGCCATGTGCTGATGTTTTATGTACCCTGTGAATAACAAGCAGTGGTGTCATTTTTCCAGGACTTTTATTCAGCTCCACATCCAATTATCCCAACATTGGAAGTCCATCCTGACTGCTGGCTTCTGAGGGCCTATCCTACGTGACACATTTAGAAACTAATGCTGAAGAGAAAAAAAAAAAAAAAAAAAAAAAAAAAAAAAAAAAAAAAAGCATGAGGCAAATATTTGAAATACTGTAATTATAATTTATTATTCTCTCTAATCGTTTCATTTTATTCCAGTGTAAAAAACATTACTTTTTTACTGGTTTCTTTTGACATAATTTAAGAACCACATTTATTTTCTACAGTGTTAAGACTTTTTCTCAGAAATACATATCTTTGTACTACTATTCAAATGAATATATGGACACTGTGGCACACTTTAAGTATTTTTTCATTAAAAATAAATATTTGTGGTTTCACACAAATGACATCAGTCATGTTCTTCTCAGAGGTAAGTGCCTTTTCTTTTTCAGGTTCCAAGTGTTTCTCAGGCACTTCAGATTGCTTTGCAGAGGATCCAGCTGTCCTTTGTTTACCAGAATTAAATCCATACATGTGTGTGTTTGTATAAAAACGTATGGATGTGTATATTTATGTGCAAGGGGAGAGACAGCACCATAAAATAAACTTGGTGAGGCCTGAGAATACCAACATTTAGATGAGGTTTGTATCTGAAACGAATTCAGAAGTCAAGAGGGAAGTTTTGGGATGAAAGGGAATAATCTCCAAATAAAACACCAGAGGGTCATTGCTGAGATTTCAGAGCCACGTGCAAGGCTCTGGAGCAGAAGTGTTGGATATTTGCCCTCAGAGCTGCCTCTGCCTGAGGTATTTGTGATCTGGATGGCACATGTAGGGGCTGCAGAGCCTAAATTTCAGTTAAAATAGCAAAAAAACCCTCAGGCTGTGGTGTTGGTGAATTGTGTTTTTAGTGTGCACAGATGTGGCAACATCTGCCCAGAGCAGTGGCTGGAGCTGTGGAAACCCCAGAGTTCCCTGTCTGGGAGGAGAGGGTGGCTCTTCTCCCAAATTATATTTATTTGGGCTGCTCCTTCCATGAGAGAATTAGGAGTTAGGATTCTCTGCTGGATTTAGGGATTTAGGTATAATTCTGAAGGGGGAAAAACAAAAGAGAAAGGGAAGGGAGGAGTGGAGGGGAATGGGAAGGGAAAACGACACCAACAGCACTGCAGTGAAGCAAAACCCAACATTCACGTGGTGGAAAGGACCTTGCTTTGCTGTGGATCCCTGAAAAATCCTATCTGGCCTCAGAGAATTGGAGCAATCCTGCCTGAGCTGTTCACCCTGGTGGATGAGCAATCCCAGGAAAGGAGAATAATCCCCTGGGAGGAGGAAACCTCTGCTCCAGCCAACGGCCTCGTGTTTACAGCACTGGGCTCTCCAGATAAGTTGTTTAATCAGCTCCTCCTAATGAGGACAAACACAAAAAGGAGAATCTCCTTTTATATTTAGAGCGTGCAAAGGGTTTCCAAATGTGCCTGGTTGGTGTTTCAGGGCTTTGAGCTGGGTTGTGGGGCTGCTGCCTTCTCCTTTTCCACCACTGCATCCTTTTCTAAGGGCTGTAAACAAAAGGGGTTAATTCCTGCAATTCTTGTGGCCTGTGGAAACCCTGCTGTTGTCCAGGACATGTTTCAGATTTATGGAATAGCTGTTCCCCTGGCCTCAGAACATGCTGGGACTTGCTGACTGCTCTCCATATAAGGGAGGAGATCCGACTTTTAGGTCCGTGCCCCTTGGAAAATCAGGGAGAAGGCAGAGCTGAGGAGTAAATCATATTGCTGGGGGGAGAAGGGATAATGAGAACCAACACCTGATCATGCCTTTGTGTTTTTCCTGAGTTAATTGGGTGTGTTTATTTGTGATTCTGTCCTAATTAGCAACTCCCTGGACCACCTACTAATCTCCCAAACTGAATTCCAAATATAAAACACACCTTGAAAGAATCAATGGAGATTTATTCTAAATTGCATGCAGTGATGTTAAACAGCCTTTCATCTTTTTTAATCCTCAAAAAATGCCCCTCATCGTGGTGCAGAGGTGAAATCCTCTTTGCAAAGCAGATGTTGAAGGTGGTAGAAGGGTTGCCCCGTTCCTGTTTGTGTGGTGCAGCACAGAATTCAAGTAAGGTCACGTCTGCTGCTTCAAACTTTCTGGTTCAGATGCTCTGGGCCATAATATGGAGCTGGAATGTCCTGCCTTCCAGTTACTGCCTTGTTTTCTTCTGCAAGGGCGATGTTGAGCTTTCCAAGCTGTGTTGAGTGGTGGTTTTTCTTGAGAAACCAAGATAAGAGGAATGTTCCTCACTGCTGTCACTCTCCTGCCTGATACCGACCTGTTTTCCAAACTTGGCCTTGAGGTCTTTGTCCAACTCCGTTGCTTACAATGGTTTTGCTGCAAGGTCATTTCTGCAGATAATGAGCATGAATTTCATTATTTTTCTTAATTCTGTCCCTTTGCTCCTAATTATTCTGTCCTGGTTCTGCTGCAGCTTCCTCTCCATTTGCATTCACTCCCTCCCTGCTTCAGTGCCAGAGTTTCTGGAGTCAGACACCCTTTGCTTTATTTCACCATGGACAGTCTGGCTGGCCAACTGCAATTATTTTATCTCCTTTCCTAATTAGTATTATCAGGCTCAGCTAAAACATATTTCACATTCCCATACTTATATTTTGCCTGGCTTCCACCTGTTTTTCCTGGTTTCCTGCAGTCCTGGTGCTCCTTTCCCACGTGCTTGGCTCTTGAGCTGACTCTGCTGTACCTGAATCGCTGGAATTGATTTTTTTTTTCAAGCTGAGTTCATGAATCACTGTGTCAACTGTTTGCACTGAGTTAGTTAAATGTATATTTGTGTGCCCTCTGCCAGGCGAGTTTATTTGGATTCCCTTCTTCCCTTTTTTTCCTGTTACTAGCTTGGAGATGAGATTTCTGCTTCCACACATCTTTTTTTCTGCTGAATTTGGACTGCAGGTGATTGACCTGTACAGGGTCACCTCCCCAGGCTCTGCCAGACATTTTCAGTCACCATCAGAAAGTTTTTACACACCAAGGCTCAGTTTGATCTGTATTTAATAATAATTCTCCTCCAAAAACTTCCCCACCATTTCTCTTGGTTTGGCTTTTCCCTCCCTCTTCCACAGGTGGTTTTGTGTTTTTTTTCTCTTCCCCACTGCACTCCAACCTGTTCTGGGATTTCATTCCTGCTGGATTCCTGCCTGCTGGAATCAGGATTTGTTTCGTGCTTGTCTGAGCGTCCTCAAGACTTTTAGGGGAAATCTTGGACCCTGTTGGAACCCCAAGAGGCTGTTCCTGCTGTTGTGATCCCCAAGAGTTCTGCTGAAAGCTCAGCATCAGCAGATCCCATCTGGATGTGCTCAGCTCCCAGGATGGCTTTGCAATGTTCTCTCTCTCTCTCTCTCTCTCTCTCTCTGTGTTTATTTCTCTGGCTGCTGCTGTCAGCTCAACCCCAGCACTGACAAAGCACTTTCTGTCCTTGTCAATGAATTTTGGCACTTCAGCCAGCAGTGGAGCTGGGCTGGGCTCTCCCAAGGCTGACTCCTTGCTCCTCGTGTTTCTCCTGCATCCCTGGGGACTCATTTGACCCCCACTTTGCTATAGAAATCCAATGTTTTGTGTTTCCCTGCGTGCCTTTGCAGAAGCTCCAAAGCTGGCAGCACAGTTCAGAGTGTGTCAACACTTCTCCTCTTGCAAGAGAAGTCCCAGTCCGTGGAGAGAAATACCTGGCTCTGAAGTTTCTGGTCACCCTGGGGGTCAGTGCTCTCTGGGAAGCAAATTCCAGCGTCAGCCTTTTCCCCTCTGTCCCTCTGCAGCTCCCCAGCAAACCTTGGCCAGTCCTTGCCCTTCAGGAGTGAGAAGCTCCCTGCAAAAATGAGCTGTCCCAGGAGCCATCTCTCATGGTTTTGGAATCCTCAGTGATTTATCCAAAAAGAGGGGAGTTTCATTTGATGATTCTGCAAGCATCTGCCACGGATTAACTCCTCTCTTTGTTTCCTAAATAAAATAGCAGTTGTTGCAGCTAGGCTGCCCATTCCCTGGGGCCTCACTGATTGTGGCCATGGACAGAGAATCCCAGAATGGTTTGGGAAGGGACCTTAAAGATGATCTGATTCCAACCCCCAGTGGGGCTGAGATGGGAGAGGGGAAGTGCAAACATCTCGAGCTCCAAGGACCCCACATCCAGTTTGTTCTTGCTCATTTTATGGCTTTTCCCATGGCTTTGGTTTCCAACCAGTCTGAGCTTTGCAGGCAGAGGAACAGAAAACCAGAGTGGAGCAGTGGAATGGTGAGACAGAGCTGCCCTTTAAGAGACAGTCTGGGACCAGTCTGGGATGAGATCCTGACTTTCTGGAGATACTGGAAGAGGGAAAGGAGAGCAAACTCTGCTGACCTTGGATTTGTGGTCTCTCACCTGCTGGTGTCTCTCACACCTTCCCAAAGCTAAAAATGAGGTTGTGCTGCTATCAGAGAATCCCAGAATGGATTGGGCTGGAAGGAACTTGAAATCTCATCCCATTCCACCCCTGCCATGGCAGGGACATCTTCCACTATCCCAGGTTCCTCCAAGCCCTGTCCAACCTGGCCTTGGACACTTCCAGGAATTCAGGGACAGCCACAGCTTCTCTGGACAACCCAGCCAGGAATTCCTTCCCAACATCTAAACTAAACCTCCTTTTCTGAAACCTGGCCGTGGTTTGGAGCAGGGCTGCCCCAATCCCTGCCCTGTGTCACTGTGAGTGCAGCTGGGCAGGAACAGCCCCCCCAGCTCCCGGGACAGGGCTTTCCTGTTGGAAAGGCAAAATGGCAAAAAAAAACCTCTGAAAGATGAGAGGAGCCAA